TTTTCTGAAGGGTACGGGTATCAAGCCAGTTTGGCAGCGCACTGGGGGACATTAATTATCGTATGTAGGTGCAGGCTGACTAAGGTCAGCACATGATAGTCAGTGCGTGCAATTTTTCAAGGTGTTTTTCAGGTGATTCTTTTGGATAACGGTCTACAGCCAACGACATCCTTCAGTGAGCCAAATTAACGAAAGAACCTGTCAGTGATTAGGGAGTTGGCTAGGACATATTGCGCGTTTAGTACAGTATGTCCGCTAATAGAACGTTAGAAGGCTTGGTAGTTAAAACGAAAATTCACACAAGTTAAGTTAGAAGAACTTTTTTTGACGGATCGTTTTAAATCAACGTGTCAACGCATCTCCTGTGAAGCAGTTGTTCTAATGGTCACAGACTCCGCACCTTGTCTACGACGAAAACGGAGAAAGGTCTCAGGGAATTTGTTAAGAACCATATCAACCTTTCCGTCTCTAACCAAAGAAGTAGCTAACTGATCCAGCAGGGACTGCGTAATTCGTCATTTATCCTAAATTTTACTCTGATGAAGATAGCGCAGGTAATGTTCGTCATTAGACATAGCAGAAGAAGAGTTTTTCAGCATAACACCAAAGTAGAATAAAATACTACCTACTTATGGAAAAATAAAATGAGCATTCTTTTTCTCTAAAATGGAGATGAAAACGAGAAACGCCCACGAAGGTAGTAACGAGGCCGTTAAAGGGTGCATTTCGAGATTTCATGCGGATTAAACGAGTCTTTAAATTTTGCTAGTTTTGCCTGCTGGAAGCGTCCGTGGATAGTTCATAAATGACATAATCGTCTGACAGAGAAGACCCGAAATGGTCATTTTTTCGTTATTATCTGCCTAAATTAAGCACGTCTGAAATCAGAATAGATCAGCCAACACAACAAAAATGTGACTATGAGTGTTTTTCGTTGCATGAGACGCAGAGTGAACCCGTGAGCAAAAGGCTCGATGAGCACAGAAGAACGGTCTGTGTCTCGGATCTTGCAGACCTGTGGTTGTAGTGTGGCGATCGGATAGCGGATGTTAATCCAAGCATTTTTGTTGTAGTGTTCCCTGTCAGCGACGCTGGTCGATCATTCTTTGCCTGCCTGAGCGCACTCGAAATCGAAACTTCGAGACAGAAGGCCGACCCCGGTGTATTCTCAGACAATTTAGAGTTTACGACTGAACGCTATTTTGTGTATGTGTGTGTGCGTCGGTTTGAGAGACAGCTACCAGGGGCACTTCAAGTATGTCACGTTAACATTTAACTATACCATAAAGTTTTCATACCTGGTGGATTTTTTTACGGTCCGTGAGGCTGTCATCACAGTTGGGCGAACCCTGGCAGCGTAAGGTCCTGTATGTTCTGCGGTCAGTGACAACAATCACATCCTAAGGCTAAGGTAGACATGGTATTACCCAGGACGCTTTTGGACGCCGCGTGTGCGCTTCGTACCAAACTGCCAATCTGCTCCATCAGCAGATCCTTCACTCACACTGTACGGGGTCCACTTCCCTCTCTACTGGTGTCTACCGTGGACTCCGGAACTCACCCAAGAGTCGTAGGGATTTAAACCGGCACACAGTCTCTAGTGTCTAGCTGACCATGAGAATGTTTCTTCGCCTGATGATTTTGGTATCAATAAAGGCAAAATTCTGTTAGTTTTTTGGCAATTTTCGACTCGCCATTAGCAGTATATCCACGTTATCCATAGGTAAGTTGTGTCTGTGGGCACATACTAGACCCTGTCTTGCAGGTAGCTCGATAAACACCGCATCGAACGTAAGAGAGACATATCTTTTTATTTTGAAGCCGAAGTCTTCGATCTTCCTAGAATTCTACCTTAATTCGGTTAGTTACGTTTATTCTTGGAAGTTACCGAAGGTGAATAACAGCCGCCGACAGCAGTCGCAAGTCAAAGTCTTACTCAGAGGCTTTGCCAAAAACTAGAGGAGTACGTGCTTGAACTCTCATTTTATAACTTAGGTGATCTGCTGCAGATGCTTTCATTTCGAGTTATAAAGATCACAATTCTCACTAAAGTACTTTTGAATAGCACACAAGTGTAACAAATAAACACTTTATGCTCTTCTGGGTGCGGTTAAATTGATTTATTTGACGAAAATATAGGTCAAATGGAATGGCCTCTTAAACACTACTCCAAGTCGAACTGTATTGGTTGTGAGAACACCATTTGCCTTAACTATCTTTAAATTAACTCCGGAAAAAACTTATTTCTCATGAGTATCGTTTTGTGACAGTAAAAACAGCCTTGCAGTTTATTTTCAGTAATGGTCTTGGGTTCTGGATGCCACGGACGCTACACGCTCGCACGCTCGTCTAAGGCAAATAGCGGATTTGCGTATACACTCATGTAAATAGAAATTTAAACGGATTTTTGTGAATTTTGAAAATACTGACGGGCCGAAATTTCTTGTATTCCTGAGGGAATCAGTGTATGGTGACTATTAGTACATTTCTGCTTTTTTCACTCGATTGGCATATATTTAAAGGGTTTGCATTGGAAGTTACAATTTTTGATTTCTCTGGCTTACTGCATTCGCTCGAATTCTCATGCACAAATAGCCATAAATATCCGAAGCGTTAATATCAGAGGCCTAACTGTCATTTATATTCTGAGTCTGTGGAAAGTTACTTCGAACAGGTGCGACCACCCTTTTCTAGATAGGCTACATTTCATATTCAAATGCGACAACGATTTTTATAGAAGTGTCCAGCAGCAACCACGTTTTCAGTGAAAACCTCAGAACTGGAATTGTGTCTACTCCAGTATACCTGAAGCTTGTTTGATTACTAAAATACAATATTACAGAACAGATAGCGGACACTTTGATCGCCGCATAGTTTTCCTCGACATCGAGATCATTGTATGCTGTGGTGTCAATAGTGAAGGATAACAGCATTCCGCATTCAGAGGAGAATTCAGACCCATTAATTTTGACTGCTAACGTTTGCCTCATTGACTACGTGCTTACACATAGGAATATTAGGCTGTTACATTAGCCCGGTCATCGAGCCAAGACGTAACCTAAGAGTGCTCTACTGCAGTGCTTATTCCCAATCTCTTAGGGAGAAAATTTATGACTTTGGCATACGATAATCAGTTCTGCATTTTTCAGTCTGCGCAAACGTTAACACTTATAGTGAGTTACCGATCTGATGATATTTTGGCTGAAATTCTGAAATGCGTTTTCTATTAGGAAGGATTACTTAGGTGTGGTTGGAACATTTATTATTGTGAGATATATTCTTAATATATTCCGAACTAGGTAGGATGTCCGCTTTTGAATGCTCTGCAACTTAATCATCTGTTAAAAACCGTACTTGGCCAAAAATGACTAATTATGTAGCATGCATTTTTTACAATGATTTCCGATGGCTTCGAAAATTCAATTGTATTTTATAGAAACCCCGAACAAAAATATGCTTTTTTCAGTCATTTGATAGAGAATCGCATTGCTTTTATATTTTATACTCCACAAAGGAGTATAGTTAGGTCTCAAAATTTTTCGAATTCCCAAATAATTTGGAGCTTGATCAGCCGTTGCACTAGCGTTTAGCAATTTCAGTTTACAAGATGCATGTGTTCCCCGTAAAGAAAATCACATATTTTTCTATGCCTTTAAAAAGATTCTATATAGGATCCATAAAATTTTCCAATGGATATGGACCATGTTGTACATTTCATGAGTAGCAGTGGTAAGCAGGGAGGTATGGTGCTGTATGAATGGACATTGCACGGTCTTGAAAAATCTCATATTTAGAAACTTTTTCAAAACCTAATTATATGCCTTCTTCGAGCATGAAATATAAAGATGACGTGATTCTCTATCAAACGGCTGAAAGAAAGTTTATTTTTGTTCGGGGTTTATATAAAATATAGTTAAATTTGCAAGACGACCGAAAATCAATGTGAAGATGCATGCTACTTAAGTAGTCGTTCCTTGCCAAATACAATTTCTACGGGAGATTTAAAAGCAGTGCATTCAAAATCTAACGTCCTGCCGAGTCCGATTTATTATAGAATTACGCCGCAAGAAAGTCGGTTTTGCAGTCGCGCTTAACTACTCCTTCGAAATCGAAAACGCATTTCGGAATTTCAGTCAACATCACATGAGATCGGTCTTTCACTCCAAATATTTAGGAAAATACGGGTCAGCACTATGCTCATTGTGCCAAGGAAATCGAACCATTAGTGGATCATGGACTATCCAAAACAAAATGTATCTGCTTCTTATGAATGGAAATGTCATCTAAGTAGGCCCTCGCGGGAGCGTACATAGTGTTTCTCCTTTTTGAATTCCTTGCGTTTCGTTCGTGGTGACTGTGGGTTGTGAGTTTTTCCTCGTGGTACACCGGCAGGTCTGCACTGCCGCATTAGAATTCGGAACAAGCACCCAGTTCAGGCAATCGCCATCGGGCACACACTAGACGGTCAGCCAATGACAGCCGTCAGCACATGAATCGGCTGGTTAGCGCTAGCCTGTTTAACATTACTACTCATCCGTACTGCTAAATAAATGTGTTGTAAATAAGCACAATTATGGGCGTGCTTGCGGCAAAGATGAGATCTTTAAGTAATAGATAGCAGAAGCGGTCGCCGAAGAGGAGCTGTTTTTTAGGTATGCAATGCAAAAGCAAACCTGGTAGGTGCTGCAGTCGAATGCACGGTTTTGATGAGGAAACCAAAACTGGACGAGATTCGGTCCTGCAGCCCCATCTAAGTGATACCATAAGGTTACCTTTCTGAAAAAAATTGGTCAATGTGAGTAAGCTGGCTTTACAAATATCATCTACTTGCATCTTCCTTACCTTTATCCAGCGAGTGACTGTGCCATGGGGAGAGGAGTGCGTATAGGCCAACCCCGGTTACCTCACGTGTCAGTTCACACGCGCTTCCCTTCGCGTGCTGCAAGCCCTGTTTGCGCTCTCTTTATTATCTTAATCCAGCGATTGACCATGAAGGCTTGCTAATGGAATTGCTCCGACGGTGTGGAGAGTTGGGCCCACACAGAATCGGGAGTTACAAAGGCAATGGCCTCCTCCTTCTGTGAACCTATACAGAACACCGTCTCCTCCTGATCGACATTTTCCTTCAGCCTCCAGCGCGGCGCTGTCAGCTTCTGGATTATGTCTGCCTTCAGAGGCGCGCCTGTCATACCGGTCTGGTGACAAAGGCGGACTGCGATATCGACGGCCGAACGGGTCACCACCTTGTCATCCCCAAGATGGCACTCCAAAGGCAACCTAACACGGGACCACAAGCCAGGCGATCACCACGTAAGTCATCTGCATCTTCACACCGCCCCCTTCACCGCAATAAACAGACCCACATCCTGAATGAACTGCCAACTTCGACCACTAATGCGTACTTGGCGGCACAGTGGCATCAACTGCGTAACGAGGTCTACACTAAAGCCATGGAAGCCCTAGGTCGTCCATGCCGTAGGTCTTGTTCGATGATAATGACAAAGAAATCCCCAATCTGCTCGCAAAAATGGGCTGCGCAAAACCTACACCAACCGCTAATTTGACAAAAAAGGCGGTCTTCTTCAGATGCAGCTGCTTGATTGATGAAACGACGGCTGTGGGCGAAGCAAGACGCCTGGAGTGGTTCGCAGGTTCGAGGAAATACAAGGATACGCAGATCAGTTAAAACGATGAATCTCATCGCTCCACATAAACAGTCTATGCGCCTGCACCAAAGGAAACGCGCCGACTCTCAGCTTCGACGGAACAACACCCCAGGGGCACTGAGGCGAGCACTTCAGAACCGTCCTTAACTGTCCATCCGTCATCTCTGACGTGACCATCAAAAGACCCCCAGTTTAAAAAAGAACAACGATACGGACCTATTGCCTTCCTTACCATAAGCATCTACAACAACAGGAAAGCACCGGAATGAGGCACAATTCCAGACATACTCTACAAGAACGGCAGTCGTTGGTTGACGAACAAACTCGCCTCGCTCTCGCGAGGACTGGGTCGCATGGACAAGTCTTTCATTGCTTTAGGGAGGCTTTTGAAGCATTTCGTCCCAGTACAAAGCTGAAGTAAGCATGCGGGAAGGATTTATTGGTACCAAAAATTTTGCTTGTACACATTTACAAGAACAAGGGCAATCGACTGATCTATGAAAATCACATGGCAAACTCGTCGTCCGCCACTCCCGGGCAGCCATTCGCTCGCATCTTTCAAAGCGGTTCCAACTACCACCTGGAGCAAAGGCTTCTCCCAGAAAACAAGCGTCGTTTTCAACGACACCGCGGAACTACTGACATGATTTTTCTTGCTGACAAGTCTCTACACTGTCTTTGTAGATATTCGCGACGGTGTTCTAAAGGATCATGCCAAAATCCAGATATCTGGAACACTCCACGCACACATGGTGTGCAAGATACAAGAGGGAAAGTTGGTTCACTATACGGACAGTGGGACTGATTCGGAAGTATTTGGGGCGTCTAATTGGGTGAAGTACGATGACTAGCGATCAGGAGTCAGAACCGCCTACCAGATCGAAAAACAACTTCTCAACTTACGGTGGGTGCAAACATGCCCGAGGGTATCCCACACCAGTGCACACGACCGGGGGTGACGGTTCACTCAATACAACGACGGAGGTAGTCATGCAAGGGGTCATACACCTTTTCGCCTATAGGCAAAATGGCATTACTGGCAAAGACAATGGGGACCGAAACGGTTATTTCTGGCCGATAAGCCGTCGCCAGCCAGCCATATTCATCCCCGCGGTGTGCTTATATTACGGGTCACTGTACGGCTGCTGGCGGACTCGAGAGAAAGCTCCAAGACACAACGGAACGAGTGAGTTCCCTAACGTACTCGGTGAGCACCCTTCTATGGCTGCGCTGACTTCGGACTGACAATCAATGCGACAAAAAAGGCGGTTGTGCAACAAACTGCGCCAGACACTGATTACGTAGGACACCATGTCACGCTTAAGGGAACTCATCTGGCTACTGTGGACAGATTTGCTTGTCTAGGGAGAACAATCTTATAAATGCGAGGATCGATGGCAAGGTAACTCATCGGATCTCCAGAGGTAGCCAGGCACTCAACCTGCTATAAACTTCAATCGCGAGGACTTCATCTGAATGCCAAAATCAAGACACACAAGGCGATAGCCCTGAGGACACTGCTGCATGGGGCGGGGAATAGATCGTTTAAGCCAACCAAACCAGGATACTGGATAACGTTCACCTTAGATGTCTCCGCAGCATGCTAGTGTCTGGGCAGTGGAACAACATCCGAGACGCAGATGTCCAGGAACGGACCGGAATCTTAGGCATACACACCATGTTGAGGCAACTGCGATGATAGATGACAAGCACCTACCCAGCTGACTCTTCTATGGCGATGACGCTGCATGGAAATCCAAGGTTCCTACCACAAGGATTTGCAAATCAGTCCGGACACCTGGAATGACTTCGCCCAGGATAGATAGGCTTAGAGAAGGGCATTTAAGACTGGAGCAGCAACTACTTGAATTACCACCATCGAAGCCAACAGAGCGGCTCGCGGGTCGCGAAGACTGAGGACCCTCAGCCCCAAGATGCAATCACTTCCAAGGGGGCCCAAGCTGCCGACAAATATTTCGCGTTTAGATTGCCCTCTTCGGACATTTTCGGATACAGTACAACAGCAACATGTCACCAACAAGAACGCACCCACCCCCTCACCCCGCCGCCATGGCACCCACCGAGGCCGACCCCACCACCGGTGAGTAAAGTCACATCGTTCCCCGCCGCACATCACTGCCACGACCCCTCGAAGACGTTGAAGGTGGCGATCGCCACTCCCCTCAGTCCTGCACGGATGGAACCATTCCCGAGGTCCCCTCAGCAGTCACGCCCGCCACCACTACCACCCCACCACCAGCAATGTTGGCTCGATCCTAACTTGTCCTCATTGCGATCGCACCATCACACCACCCATCGGCCTGGTCGATCGCTTGTGAATTCATCGCATCGAGGCGGGCTAACAAGTGCCAGATACCCCGGTGTACGTTCGCCACATTCGCCTCCTCTGCTCGCATTGCCCATGCACTTTCAGTCACTATAACATGCGCTCCCACACTATTATGCAGTAAAGTACCGCAGATCAAACCCTGGCATCACACATACTCCAAAACCACATGAACACGTCGCCCATCATCTGCCACAGACATGGAACAGGCACCTCCTATGTTAGTGTAGAGAGTGACCTACGACTCCTTTTCCATCTGGTCTTTATATCAGAGGCCAAAGGGGGACAAATCCGTGGATGAAGAATCCTGCTTTTGCTAAAAGGTAAGGTGGGATACACTGCAAAGCGTGTTGGACACTCGAAATTCCAGAAAAAAAGCGTGGTAACTGAATGACACACTTGAGGGTGATGATGATGATGATGATGATGATGATGATGATGATGATGATGATGATGATGATGATGATGATGATGATGATGATGATGATGATGATGATGATGATGATGATGATGATGATGATGATGATGGTGGTGGCAGTTTAAGCATCCCGTTTGAAGACGTTTACTGGGTACCCTACAGATTAGGCGCAAAGCCGGTGACTTGCGCGTGTATTGGTTTATAGTGAGGAAGATTTATGCATCATCCACTAAATTCTCTCTCATCCCTCACCCGTGAAAGGCACTATCAGGACGATCGGAAGTGGGCTCGGGCGCAATGGTTGACAAGGCCAAACTGGCAGTTTAGGCCTGATCCCGAAAGTTTGTGCCAGACCGCAGTAAGAGCGGCCCTAATGCCACGTGGGTGGACGTGTAATCAAGACCACATTAAGGAGATCCCATTGTAGCCTGACGCTCGTTTGTCCAATTGCTCTAAACAATCTTCTGTGATATAACAGTGTGTGACCGATCTCATGAAATGCTGACCAAAATCCTAGAATGCGTTTCCGATTAGGAAGAATGACTTAAATGAAGGTTTTATGTTGACTATCTTGCAGCACAACCTTATAACAATTCGGACTCGTCAGGATGTCGACCTTCGAATGCACTTCTTTTTGACCTCCTGCAGAATCTACACTCGGTAAAAAATGACTACTTGAGTAGCATGCATTTTTCTTATTCATTTTCGGTGGTCTTATAAATTTGAATATAGCTTACAGAAGACATGCACAACATAAGCCTTCTACGGCTCATTTGAAAGGAACTTACATTGTCTTAATATCTTATACCCGAAGAAAGTGTATCTTTTTGTTTTAAAAAAGGGTCTAATTATGAGTTTATAAGACCGCGCGATTTCTATGTAGGCAAGCCCCCACAAGTCCTGCTAATAATGCTCCTCATGAAATGCACAACACAATCCAGATCCATTGCAAAACTTCATGAACTCTATGTGGCATCTTCTTAAAGGCATAGAGGAATATATGCTTTTCCATACACGGTAAACATGCACCTTGTAGACTGAAATTTCTAATTGCTGATGCAATGGCAGATCAGGCTGAAACTTATTCGGGAATTGCGAAACTTTTTAAAAACCTAAATACACGGGCAGCGGCCAAGTGTCCAAGCCCCTCAGTCATTTTGAGACGGGATTGGACTCAGTGGTTGGTGAGGCGGAAAGACTACACCTAGGCGTATCATCACACCCCTGTGTGCGGCAGTGCATCTAGCGTATCTACTGTTGCACACAGGGATGTGATGACACGCCTAGGTGTAGTCTTTCCGCCTCACCAGCCACTGAGTCCAATCCAGTCTCAACATAACTGACGGGTTCGGACAATTGGCTGCTGCCCGAGATAGAGAGGGAAGAATGAGACCGACACTTGTCACCACGGTAAATCAACGTATTTCTCACTAAGCTCAATCTGACGAGCCTGAACATACGACGATAGGCCGTGGATGCGTTAGACCAATTCGGGGGTCATATCGGATTCTGGCAAGAGTTATCGGATTTTATATCATAACAAATGCCAAAATGTCGGTGTGTGGTGGCAGACTCGGTTGCCGGTAGCCGTCGGACACACCGGGACCCCCTCCCCATTGTTGTTGTTGTTGTTGATTTGAAAAACCTGACCAGGGGGACCAGGGGGTGTGGAGTTGAGCGCCAAGGTGCAGGCTTGACGATGCCATCCACCTGGGCCCTCCCCCGCCCCTGGTCTTCTCGACTCTGTCTTGGCACCGGGTCCAGGTGGGTGAGGAGGAGGAGAGAGTGCGGTGGATGCTGTGCGAGTTTACTGCCACTATAATTTAAATTATACACAGTTTGCCGTCTTTATTCTCACATTTCTGTGGAGCACACGGCGGACGTCCTCAGCAACGACGGTCGAGCTGTCCTGTTATGGAATGACATAAACCCTGTGTTGTTTGGTTAACGCCCGCCGTGACCCAATCTGACCACTGTTTTGGTCCAGAGCACCCAGCGTGGCACTTTGTGAAGGTAGGCATGGAGTATTCGCCTGTCATACACACTTTATCTACCCAAGGCACATAGAATGACATGCGCCACACCGCCTGAGATTTGCATGTTCTGACATGCAATGTTTCGCCGCCAAAGTGCATCGCTGGAGACCGACGTGTGAGCAGCTGGGTGGAGTATATACACGTGTTATGGAGTAGGTTAATACGTGACTTAGAGATGCATGTGTGGACGTTCATTTGGAAATGTTAGGATGGAGTCAGGATTGTGGTTCTCACCTAGAATTTTGCACGGAGACGCATATGGCCGAACAGACCCATGCGACCTCTGAATGGGTGTGGGTGTATGTCGAGGCTCCTGTCACAGGTTCGTTAGTCTCAGGATTTTGAATACCCAGGCAACCAATCAGACCGTCACGTGTCACCGATGTTCACGCGGTGGCAGCAAGGACACGATGAGATTGTGATGGTGATGATGGCGGCACTGGCGGTGGGGTTGAAAGAGACGGTGTTGGGGGGGGGGGTTCAGGTGCAGGGTACAGGTGAAGCTGCGGCGAATCCCCCACCGTCATGTGTGCGCATATGGTCTTCTAGATCTCTGGATGTCTGTGGCAGAGCGGACAGGTGGAGCGTGTACGACAGGGCTCCAGTCAGTGGTGCACCGATCTCCCTGCGATTAATGGGCATGTGATCAGCCAGTCCGATGGGTGATTCGATTGTGTGGCCGCAATGGTGACAGGTTGGTGGTTGCAGGGATGATGATGACGCTGGTGTTTGTAGGGTGGTAAAAGCATCATCACTGGTTATGCTAATGCTGACGCTAGGAGTGATGTGCCCTGAAATGACACGCGAGTTGTTCCTGTTGCTGCTTCCCTGTGTCCGAATAAGTTCAAGGAGGCTGACCCATGCCAGGAATGTCCATTGGCTGTGTGGCCGCATAGGTAGGGGTTGAGTCCTCGCGCCATTTTTTTCGAATACTTGAGAGAAAAAGTTACCGGCGGTTGGGTTGGTATTCAGTTTTTGCATAAGAAGAGACAAAGGCATTTGAATGGTTAGAAAGAAATGACTGCGATTAACTTTCAAAGGCAGATAAACTGAAAAGCAGACCTTTAAACCTTCCATGAATTCCAGTCCAGTGTTATGTCAAATGATTGCTTTAGTGGACAGACCTCGTGCCAGTGTATGCAATTTACTAGAAAGCCTTAGTAGTTAATAGTCTTAGTTATATATCTTGAAAAATGATCTTGCATGCTTCAAAACCAATTTGCTCTCATGAAATAACCTTGAATTCTAAAAAAAGTTCCCTCCAAGTTTTAAATATCTAAGGATATGATACGACGACCGTTATGTGACGGACAGATATACTTACATATATGATTGACTGACCAAATTTATTCATCTAAAAATTTTCCAACAGCGGCCCCCTTATAGCAAAAGCTTTTTAAAGAATGTCGTGTCGTCTACATACGTTAATGCTAGACGTAAATGTAAAATAAGAAGTGCGCGGCCAAAAATCTTTTGCCTCAGAGACTTTCAATCGTGATGTACGAATGCTTCCATACCCTTTGACTGTGAAAAGATACACAATTTGCGGTATTGCAGTCTTATTAGTGGACCGTAAGACCATCATCCTATTAAGCACGGAGAATTTATAAAATGTTTAAACAGTGTGTCAGAAAGAACTTCTAATGGCATATGCTTGTACTGACGGCATCAGTCGGGCTTGATACCGAAGGTCACTGTCATCTTCATACTGGTCGCATGCCGTGTGAAGTTCTGCCCACTTCATCAGAAGCGTTGCCATAGCAGTCATAATCTGGAACATTGAGTCAAGAAAGAGGAGTACTGATCTGCTGCTATGATGGACTTATTGATTTTTGCGGTTCAGGCTACGGTGTTCCTGGCTTGGACAGAAAAGTCAGCAGCTTGAGAGAAAACCTTAAACTCAAATCTTTTTGACCGCAGGATTTTTTGTTATCTTCGCGCTTATTATCATCGTCTATTAAGTGCTATTATGGCAGGCAAGGGTATAGAGGGGGACTCCACTTAACTGCAAGTAGACTGTGGATCGTGCCATGCGTGATTTATGGTAAAGGGAGTTTTGTGGGTGAGGCAGCACGCAAGGCAGTATGCTGACAAAATGAAAGAAAACACAAAAATTGTCTGGATTTATGCCGAAAGTCTTATTCTACGCTATTGTACGACAAAGGAAATGAGACTGGTAATTAAACAACAAGCAAAAAATAGATTTCATACAGTAACGGACTCTGAGTTAAGGTGTGAGGTCTTGGGAAGAAATTGTTGTTGGCAGTGTAATTTCTGCATCAGCCTGCGAACGTATGCCAAGATAAAACCCCATACGACACGACCCACAGTCAACTGACAGTTGAGTGAGGTCCTTCTCTATACCGTTGCCTTATGGCATTCCCGACTGTATGCTGTCATAATTTAGACTTTTCTTTACTTAAATCAAGTAGATTGACGACCTACATAGGTGAAAAAAAGCAACAAATCGAGTTTTCCCATGTGGTGTTAGACATCTCTTGCTTTAGGCGACACAGTGCAGGATCGCAGCCCATGGGGCAGGGCGTTGGTTTTAAAATGTAAGAAAGGCGGCTGATCTAAATTTCACTTGGGACTTAGTTTTGCGTTTTAATCTAAATATTCTTGTATTTGGGAGAATAAACGGATGTGCCACTGTCCATACCTCCATTTTTGAAAATCTTACTAAAATTTCAACTAGTAAAATTAGGAAGTCTAGGTCTGAAAATAGCCTAAGAAAAAGTATTTAAAACTTAGGCATTGTAAAACCATTTGCTGCCTTCGCACTGGTGCAAAAAACCATTACTTTATGGACAGAAACTACGATCCTGTGCGATCCCAATAAAGAAGAAAGGATTGGGACTATCCAAAAACATATGACTTACTGCACTTAAACGTGAATAAGCTCGCTCAAAGTTATCCTGCGTTCTGAATAAACCTTTGCGAAAACCTGTTTGCATAAATTTACAATAGTGTGCGAATTTCAAGCATTCGCAGTATTCAAGAAGTTTGGTGAATACAGGTTTGCAATGATGTCCTTTTCCACTCATATTTCCACATCTTTCGGTTACCACTCAGTTTTATAAGTACTGCGCTAAAAAACCATTTTATGATTTATGTTGTCGATTATTAGACTCTATTCCTCGACGATACAATATCTTGGTTTTATCTGCTTGGAAAATGTCTGCCCGATTTGTTTGATAATTTAACTCTTAATGGTCGACGGTGATGCATATATTTCCCAGAGAAAATGTATTAAGGACATCTACAATATGCAGGCGTGATTTGAATATAGTTCAACACATTGATTATGCACGTCCCCTGATCTGTTGCAAAGAAATTCAACTTTTGGTGCAATAAGAGGCAAAAGCAAGAGTGATTTTCAGAGGGTGACTTCATCTCAGCTTACTGAAACTCATGAGTTCCTGATAGTTAACGTTCTATATTTCATACCAAATAACCTGTCTTATGTTGCCACACTTTTGTAAAACGCTTCTTCAGTTTGACCATACACTTCTTAATTGTGCCGCTTTCGAAACTGCCTTTCGCATTGAAAGCACACGCCATTCGTTTTTTTCTAACCACAATAGTGTTTTTCTAATTCATTCTATGGCAAATTTCGACATCATAAGGGACCAGCATGCGTGCGTGCAATTTTAAGCCAGTGGCGAGAGACGAATGCGTGACAGCCTGAAAATATCCTTTCATATCTTGCTGACAAACTCGAATTTGATACGAATCAGTTAACGAAATCGATTGCAGCTGCCAATGTGTCAGTGGATCTGGTAGAATTCCTTTGTGCTTTCCTCTCTAACTGTTGGTGATAACATGTTCTGTCAACGAATTGGTTGAAGAACGTTTTTACGTAGACTTCTAAGTGTTTCCCCCTTCGCACAGTGCTCGTGGAGAATGGAAGTTGAAAGCAGGGCTCTTGTTTACGTAGGCGAGTAAGACATAAAGTGTGCATATCTGACTGGTATGAGAGATTTTCGCACCTTTCAATGATTCCTGCACAAGTGCCAGTGAGTCGCCCCCCGCCATTTAGAATAATTGCTATTGCGGGACTCCTGCAGGCATTTATGGTATCTGTGATGTCATTGCCGTCGTCTGCCCAATTCAGCTGGCCTGGACAATGACATATGATTTGTTATGAGTGGAGTGTTTGCATGCTTTGCAATTAATCCTCCGAGGGAACAGACACCAGGTACAGGCCTAAGTAGGCTGTCCGCCGATAATATGGCTGATGGCCAAATAGCTGAAGAGTCACTGCGAACATAGACAGACTTCCCGTGCGTTTTCCTCCATTCCATAACTTGCTAAGTTAAGCGTGGCCAACAGAACTGTCGCTGCAACCTGTCCCGCTGTCGGAACAGATGGATGACGGGGTTTATACCTCCTGGATTTCAACTGTTCAGCAGACGCACAGAAAACCCAAAGGGCGGAGGTATAGCAGTATCTGCCAAGAGTGGCTTTTATGTTTCAGAAATATCTCCTAAGCTGACTTGTAGTACGGAAGCGATATGTATGAGCACTGGGCTCTTAAAGTCCCGAGAAAGGACCCTAAAACTGTTGCCCACCTGTTGGCTGAGCTCAAATTATTTTTTATGCGGCCGATTATTCTCATCGTTGGAGACTTTAATACACCTCGCATAGACTGGAACTCAACCTCTGCCGACCGCTCTGAGGCAGTATTCGATCAGCAGCTTCTGCATACCATCGGCAATTTTCTTCTTACCCAACACGTAGTGCTTCCGACGAGAGTTCGCGTGGGCCAACAGATGAACTGCCTAGGCCTTGTGTTCGCTAAGTCTTCTAACGGCATCTATGTTGCGAATTGCCTCCCCCCCCTACCCATTAGGCCAGAGTGACCATTTAGATCTCATGTGGAAATACACCTCATTCTCCCTGCCTGCGTGGCGATTTTGAACAGAGGAGGTATGATTTTTGATCTACTGACTGGGCATTCACACTCTCTGGCTATACCGAGGAGGTTTGGGGACAGTTCAATGAAATAGTTCATAGCTTCATTTCCAACCACTAACTTATCATGCGAAGAATTCTGACAAACAGACCTCCGCTGGTCGGCTGCACCCTTAAAAAGGCGGATAACAAGAAAAGGAAATTATATAAAAGATCTCTCATGGGTCGGACGGATGAACCTCTAAAGAGTTTTTAAACCCAGCAGATGAAGATGCGACCACGAGAAAAAGAACTTCATTGGCCTGGCGTTTCGGATTCTCACTCAGAGTCTGCGACTGTCTCTGTTGATGGGTTCGCGTGAGAATCCGAAAAGTCAGACCAATAAATTTCTTGTTCCATTGATCGCATCTTCGTCTTCTGAACTGCTTTCTGGAACTCGCCTGTTCGCTTCTATCAGTTGTAAGACTGTGATGTCATCCTGCTCGTTGAAGGCATAAACTTGTGGAAAGCTATTCATAATGTGGCAGAGGCAGACCACCTGCAAACAAACTTTAGCAGGCTCGAGGACTGGTCGAAGCGCTGGCTTACGCACTTCAACGTGAGTAAGTGCAACTTTCTTCAACTCAGCAGCTGCGGAGCCTCCAACTCCAGGACTTACTTTCTTCACGATACACCACTGCAACAAGTTGACAGTCAAAAGGACTTGGGTGTGTGGATTACATCTTCACTCGAGCCAACACTGAACTGGGCGAAGGCGACCAAGTCAGCCATCATCAGACGGACATTTATAGGATTTGGCAGAAAACTTTTCCAAAATATTTGCACCTTCGTACGGCCGCATCTACAGTACGCCATTCAGGCGCGGAGACCATGGACTGCCAAGGACTTACCGTCTTACGGAAGCTCCATAGGCGAGCGATAAAGTAACAAAAGGTCTGGGAGTACTGCCCTATGAAAACAGACTGCCAACTTGAAGAAGAAGGCACGATCGCCGGGACAAGAGCTTTATTAGCCTGACGTTTCGGATTCCTGCTCGAATCCATCATCAGATACATAAGCAGATAAGGGTGGTTCATGCACACGCGGCTGCAGTATTTATAGGATGCAGTAGCCATGCTACCGCATACCTATGAATATTCACGGCTCTCTCCCCTTCATCAGGGCTCGTTGCACGTGGCGTGATGGTCAATATTCGCGCCGTTAATCGCTGCAATTTCATCACGTGCGTTGGATGTTGGCGTGATGATTGCTCGACCATCTGACGCGCTGACCCGGGTGTTGGGAATTGTTCACCAGTGCGCTCCCCGCATGGCCAATTACTCCGCCTAGACGAAGTCTCTGCACGCTGCATTGAATGGGAAGATCATTGCACTTGTTGATAGACTGGGGGCCAGTAAACCATGATTCAAGCAGCTCCCGGCTCACGCGGTTGTTACCTCTTGCGAGAATTTCGGCCTCGTCAAATTTAAATGTGTGGCCGGAACCTGTCGAATGAGCCGCAACTTGAGAGGTGGCGTCATTTCTCCGCACTGCTGCAGCCTGTTCGGCCATTCGCGTTCGGAGCTGTCTTCTGGTTTCTCCGACGTAGTTGCTTTGTCCGCAACTGCACCAGATCCGATAAACGACTCCAGACTTTTCTTGCCGTGGCAGTGGGTCTTTTGGTTTCATAAACTGACGCCTGATGGTTGCCTCCGGCCTGTGTGCAACTCCAACCCCAAGTGGTGCGAGAAGACGGCCAACAGCTTCCAAAACGTTCTTGACATATGGAAGCGCTCACCAAACTTTGGTGTCCGTACGGTTAGGCCTTTCGTCCATTTTGCATATGCACCTGTTGACAAAGTTGCGCGGGTAGCCATTGGCTTTGAAGACCCGTCGGAGGTATTGTAGTTCAGCAATCTTGTCTTCCGGCTCACTTCAGTGCGTTTCGACACGCCGATAAAGCGTCCTTACACAACTGCGTTTGTGACTGATTGGGTGGTTGCTGTTGAAGTTCAGTACTTGCATCGTATTTGTCGCTTTCGTGAACACTTTGGTCTTTAGTCCACCACAATCCTTGCGGCATACGAGGACATCCAGGAAGGCCAGCTGGTTGTTCTCTTCCTCCTCCATCGTAAATTGTATGTCCGGGAAGACCGCATTCAGACGTTCCTTGAATGTCAGCAGTTGATCCCGATCGATAACGACGAAGGTATCATCCACATACCGGGCCCAGACCTTCGGTCTGTGGTGTTGGAAGACCAGCGACTCTAACCGTTGCAGGACCGCCTCGGCGATGAACCCCGAAATCGGCGAACCCATTGGTGTGCCCTTCACCTGTTCGTAGATTGTCCCGTCGAACGTGAAGTACGTCCTGAGACAGAACTTCAGCAGCTGAAGGACTTGGGCGCGTCCAAGACGATTCTCCATTTCATCGTATTTGCTTTGTAGAAGCAGCTCGATTGTCTCGATCGCCAGGTCCTGGGGAATAGAATTAAAAAGGGATGTAACATCAAAAGATACCATGACCTCATTTGGATGGAGGCTTACCCCTTTGAGTTTCTCCAGGAATTCTGCTGATGAAGAGACCGTGGTGTCTGACTCAGCGGTCAGGAACTTGAGACACCGGAACAGCCACTTAGCCAGTCCGTACGTTGGAGTCCCTTCGAGCGACACGATGGGTCCGAGAGGAGCGCCGTCTTTGTGCACCTTAGGGAGGCCATAGAATCGGACCAAAGTCGTATCTTGGGGTCTCGCCATGCGTCCTTCGGTCGGTGTTATTGCACCTGAGTTCTCCAAGGCCAACAACGTAGCATTGATTTCGCGTGTCAGCGCTTTTACAGGGTTCGTTGCAAATGGGACATGGAACTGTCGGTCCTCCAGTAAACCTTTGGCTTTTTGAAGGTAGTAGACTGCCAACTCCCAATTTGTATCCCCTTTCCTACAGGCAACTACGCGGTGATCTTATGCTAGCCCTCCGCATTATAAATGGCCTGGACTGCTGCTGTATCCCCAGTTATTTTTTCCCTCAGGCTAGCACGCCCACTTTTCGCGTCCATCCTCTAAAACTACGCGCATGTAAAGCAGGGATCAATGGACAGAAGTTTTTCTCATTAACAGGGCGGATTTGACGTGAAACGCCCTGCCTACTGATGTTTTACTCGCCTCCTGTGTGGAGTCATTCAAGCGTGCACTTGACACGTGTCAAGCTTCTTAATTACCGCCCACACTCGCACTCACATAACCAGTCACCAAACTGGCATACGTGTATACTACTTGTCATGATTGAGTAGTTGTTTATGTTTACCCTTTTTCGACCGACAGATAGCAGCCCGCTTTCACGTACAATTGTGTAAACAATTTTCCACTAAATCTTCCACTTATCGGCGCTTTTTCTTAGACAATCTGTAACCAAGAGGGAGTTCAAAGGCCTTAGTTTATCTTTCCCTTAATACAAGTGTACTGAATGATAATGCGTACGTACCTAAACGTTGTAAGTGATCTCAACGCCGTACTGTGGTGTTTGCACAACTTTCAGTTTTAACGGGTTTCCTTCCGCTATTTAGGGCAATTGCCTCCGTAGTCCCTCGCGCAGGCCGTGATATCATGGTCTGTGTAAAAACACAAAACCAGTTACGCGTGGAAGCAGTCGTGCGAACGAAACCTAGGTCTAAAGGATTGTCCGTTCGGTGGGCGTTACACCACAACCTATACCAGAGTTAGTTAGTCTGTTCGTTTTCATTTCACTGTAGTCCCGAAAAGAACCCGTAAAGCAACACCTTGCTCGGTCTGCGGACGTCTTTTACACCCCTGTCTTGGAAGAAAACCAATTTTCCACAGTCAAACCTACGAAAAAATCCTACCAAAGCTTCTTAGGACAGCAGTCTTTGACCAGTTCTCAAAGATCGTTTTCCACCGCACAGGACTCTTCCATTTGATCGGGTATCAGCCAGGGCTCTGCACCCATTATGTCAATGATAACTTTATGATTCTTAAATCCGACGGTTACCAGAGCATGAGGTCCTTTCTGAACATTGGTTGTCTCACCATACTACCCAGGTCCACTCGTAATACCCCGCAAGAGCACGTCCAATAAGCTACAGGTACATAGTGATACTTAATTTGCAAGGTACTTACCACTTTTAATGCAAAAATATGAATTCGGTTGTCGAATCTACTCGGTGAAATGAGATGCGACATAACAGTCGACAAGACAATTTAATAAATCCACTTTTCTAGACTGCTTAGCAGGAACAGATATCTGGCGTAGGCCTGATCAGGACGTCCGCCGATCATCTGGCCGGCGGCCTAATGTCTGAAGAGTCATCACATTTATCAACGGAGTTTCCCAATAGACTTCCATAATTCCTGAGATTTCGGAGTCACGCTCGGCCCGCAGAACCGGCGCTCGACTCCAACAACGTCTGATGAAAGTTTTGGACAGTTTTTTCGGTGGATAAAGCCTCGAAGTTTCAAAGAACTGAATTAAGGCCCAGTGACTGCAACCACGACAGAGAAACCGTGCCAGTACTGCATACTTAATTACGAAAAACAAATCGTAGGGCATAAAACGATGACCCAGTGACCCAGATTTTTAGATATACTGAAAGATACGTACATGCCTTTTACAGCCAGCAGTGAATCTTTTGCTCGGTGAATATTAAATCATAGGCAGTTTTTCTGACAATATAGAAAGTAGCCTACAAGAGGAATCGTCTATCTCGAATGTAAATTAAATGGAAATGGTCACTTCGTTTTTAGTTTTCGAGTATGAGCAATAGAACAAACTTTCCCGGAAGTCACTCAGTCAGTTACTTTCTTCGAGCACTGATTTGAACGACTGAATAGCTGTAAGAACAATGAGGAATTTGGGCAAGCTTACGAAAAATAATCTTTTTCCGCTCTGATTATCAAACTGTCCCAGATGCTTTTCACTTTTCTACTTCATCAAGCACAACATCAGAAGTCCTATCCCTTAGGGCACCCCAACCGACAAATAATGTTCTTTTATAGTTAAAACTTCTTTAGTTAAATACTGCTAGACAGTGAATTTTTACCTCTACTAATCAGGGAGTCGAACGGAGCCGAACTGAACCAGTCGTGTTCAATTCCAAATTTCCTGTTTGCAAAAATGGTAACTTGTCATAGTTTTATTTTGTCGTAACTACCCCTCGCAGGCAACACTACTGCAGTGTGTGTAAAAGCCGCAGGACTTCATTTGCAGAGAGGTCCTACGTATTTTTAACCTATTCCGAACTTTGTCCCCCAAATTTTCAGTCGCTGATAAAACCAACTGGTTGAACCCCCATATGATACTTTTTCGTCCTTTGTTCTGGCTACTTTTATTTACTTAAATAGCCATTTGCACGCTCGTGAAATTTTGTTTTCGATTCCACGCTACCACGTTAGGCAGGGGTTTGGAAGGCAATGTGCACAGCGGACTTAAAAGTGCCTAGGTGAAGTAGTAGCAAACCAGTGACGTTGTTCAGTTTCCTGTCGTGTCAAGGCCATTCACCTTCCCTGTGATCTTTCCAGGACATTTAATCTTTACAGTGCGAGTAATGAGGCCAATTACTGTTTCACGAAATGTCCGCACTGGTGACTTACGCGTGAATAGGGCAGGCTTGTGATGCGCCTACCTCATTTTCTTTCTCTATACCCATCGCGTTGCCTTGGAAAAGCAAAATCAAGATGACGGTAGGTGGGAGTGGACTAAAAACGTCAAATGTCCTGTCTCTAACTCTGTATATGCTAGACTTCATTTAGGAGTCTCAGATTTCATGTAAGATTGACATGAAAAACACGGTAAGAAAGAATCGTTCCAGTCTCAACCTCAGCCAGAAGTGGAGCCGAATTGTCCCATTGATTGGCAAATACTAAGACCGCCTATTTGACGCGTCCTAATGGTTTCAAAGCGTTCTAGTTTTCGCAGTGTGGAACTCGGCGTTGAATCCGAGGTGGATGGGTCTCACGCTCCCTTACCTGTCTCATGTGGCCTGTCAGAGCGAAGACGACCAAGGGTGATATAATAGGTAGGCGGCTGGGGTGGCCGAGGTCAAGATAAAGCACGAGCTACGCACGAGCTCAGATGCAACAGAAGTAAAACGTGTTCAAATTCACCCTAAGAATGAGCTACTGCAGTCTGACCAAGGCTCGACCGAGTTGTCCTGTCAGCTGACAGGCTCCAAATCCACGGACTTGTTATAAAATCAGGCGTGGTTGACTTACAGTGCGTGACTGATCTCATGAAATGTTGGCCAAAATTCTGGAATGCCTTTCCGATTAGAAAGGATTACTTAAGTGGGATTGTTATACTGATCATCATGCAGCATAACCCTATAACATTTCGGACTCGGCAGGATGTAAGCTTTTAAATTCACTTCTTTTGGCCTGCTGCAGAAACCACACTCGGTAAAAAATGACTACTTACCTAGCATGCATTTTTCCTATTGATTTTCGATGGTCTTATAAATTCAAATACATGTTATAGAAAATATGTACAACATATGCCATCTTTTGCTCATTTAGTAGCAAATTACATTGTCTTCATATTGTATCCCCGACGAAAGTTTATAATTTGGTTCTTAAAAGTTTCTAATTATGAGACTTTTAGAACCGTGCAACGTCCAGACAAGCAAGATCGCACATGTCCGTTTACTACTGCTCCTCATGAAATGTACAACATAGTGCGGATCCATTGCAAAATTTCATGAAATTTATGTGGTATCTTCTTAAAGCATAGAGGAATATATGCTTTTCCTTGCGCGGTAAATATGCACCTTGTAGACTAAAGTTGCTAAACGCTGATGCAATGGCAGATCAGGCTGGAAATTATTCGGGAATTTCGAAACTTTTTAAAGCAAAAATACACACTTTTTCGGACATAAAATATGAAGACAATGTGATTTCCTACCTAATAGGCAAAATAAAGCATATGTTGTACATATATTCTATAAAATGTATTTGCATTTATAAGACCATCGAAAATCAATAGGAAAAATGTATGCTAGTCATTTTTTTACCGAGTGTGGTTTCCGCAGGAGGCCAAAAAGAATTGCATTCAAAAGCCGACATTGTGGCAAGTCCGAAATGTTATAGGGTTATGTTTCATGATAATCAGTATAACAACCCCACTTAAGTAATTCTTCCTAATTGGAAACGCATCCCAGAATTTTGGCCAACACTTTATGAGATCGGTTACGCATTGTATTTTGTAAGGAATACGCCGAGTTATACTGAGGATGCATTTCCCTGAGGCTGTCTAACTCCTCTATTACCCTTGCCATGCACCACTGACCGGGCGGGGTCTGTTGGTTAACCGCTGATGAGGATGGGCGCAGTGGCTGAAGTGACGTCAAGTCATGTGCCAGTCGACAGTTTGATCGTCGTGACCGACGATGTCCACCATACGCTCCACAGTGGGTTGAGAGCAGGAACGGTGACTTGCGCGCAGGTTAGTCTATTGTAATAGCAGACTTGTGCAGCATCTATCGCGCTCTTCCTTCCTCCCGTCTGGGTCCGTTGTCAAGATGAAGTCAAGCAGACTGAAGGAGGGAGAGAACGCAGGCAGCTGGCACGGCGAAAACCCGCACCTAGGCGTGCCATCGCACACCCCTGGTCTACAACAGACGCCGACCAAGGTTTTGTACCACAGCAAAAGTGGATTTAAGCGGTACAGGTCGAACTGACGCAGTTTGAGTGCGCGATTGGGCGTGCCGTCACACCTCGAATGCTGCATTCATTCCAAATAGTGCCTGCCG